TCCAGCACAGGTAGAGAAACAGCAGAGCTGGGAGCTGAAATGTAAATATTTTCCTTTTTGTGTGCCAGCCCCCAGAATGGGCTGAGCTTCCAGGGCAGGGGCAGCCACCAGCCCAGAGCTGTCCCCTCACCCTGGTGTCACATCCATTCTTCAAACCATTTTGGGGCTGGTGATCCTTCAGCCCTGTTCTCCTCCCTGAAACCCTTCCTTTGCCTCAGCTTCAGCCTCTGACCCGTTGCCAAGTGACACCACGTTGCTGCTGTCATCTCCAAAGACCTTTTTGAAGCATAAAAGCAGCACCTTTGAAATCCCTTGCCCTTGATGCAGCTCCTGTTTTGCATTTCCAAACAGCCTGGCCCTGCCACTGAAGCTTTATTTCACCTCCTCCAAAGCACAGCAGCAAACAGGCTGGTGGGGAGGTAACTGGATAGATGAAATTAAATTAAATTCAAAGTGTGGGTACCTTGGTGCAGGGGCTTCCCATCACTGTGCATTTCAAAGCTCCCAGCTTTGAAACAATTCCCATCATCCTCCCAGCAGGTATCCCCTGGATTTCAGTCGGCACAAAGAGTTTATTATTTACTGCCATGGCTGAAAGGAATAAAATACCTGATTTGACACAGTTCAGGAGAATTGCTTTATCCAATGGCTGACCAAATCCTCTGCCTGCTCCCAGCACGGCTCCAAGCTCCAGTTTCTTATCTGTAATGAGGGGATGTGGAACACTGCAGGCTGCTGCAGGATTATCAGATGGAGGCACAGATGTAAAACATTTATATTGGATATTTCAGCTGCTGCTGTTGTTGTGAGCTGCATTAAACAGCTCACAGATCACCTGAGCACCAGCACTGCACTTGCTGTCTGATAAGGGCTGATAACCAAATTGGTAGCCCTATTATCTTGACTCAGGTGTTTATTAATAAAGTTTCAGCTATCCAGAAAAATTTATTATTTTTTATTATGGCTGATAACTTCAGTCTTAGCTGAAAGTTTGTCTTTAATGTGCTGTTAAACCTCATTTCATTACTCAGTGATAACAGCAGTCAACAAACCCAAAGCCAACACTAACAAATCTTCAGGTGCAGTTTGCAAGTGCACAAAATACAGAAGAAGCCAAGAAAATCAAACCTACAGTAACTATCCTACAGGATCTGGGAAAGCACAAGCAAGAAAGCAATTAAAAAAAAATCTGGGAAATAAATTGAAATTATAAAGAAAACCAAGGAGAGCCAGCAGGAAGCCATAGGCAGCTTCAGAAAAATCATTATTTGTTTAGAGTTCGTGTTGCAGCTGTGCTATGCAATGATTTTACCACACACCATTCCAAACAAAAAAAAACTGTTATGGGAAAAAATCCAAGTATTGACTTGCAAAAACTAACAGGAGTCTAACAAACAAAAGTCTTAATTATAGGAGATTAAACTTCTAACATCTCTATTTGATTGAAACAGCAGGGATTTGAAATCAGTCTCCACTAAGTGATTTTCTCATTTGCATTTTGTTCAGGTTTCAGTTCCACACAGGTGCTGGGCTGGGGGTGTTTATTGACTCAAAATCCACCTGGGGCAGGCACAGCCTGGCAGGTCCTGAGCTGCATGGGAGGGAAAAAGGTAATGAAGGGCAAATCATTCTTTATTTTTATTAAATAAAAATAAGTTTTAACCCCTTTGGCTCCTACCACACTCAGACCAGGAACACTTTGGGGCTGGGACCATGACTGGAAGTTTGCACAGCATCAAAAACTGAGCCTTTGCTGGTCCAACTCTAAGCAACATTAATTAAGAGCTAATTAAAGAGTGACATTTTCACTGTGTGTGGGATTCTCTACATAGTAATAAAAGTTGCAAATCTTATTAGAAACAGGGAAGGAACCAGCAGTAAACCCGACTTTCCCTAAAGAAGCATCTTCAAGGCTGCAAAAATCTCTTTTATTTCAAATGCTCTGAGCTTGGTCACTGCCCCATCTTGTGGGCTCGAGTGTCAGGAGGTAAAGCAGGACAGATGTTACTCTGAATTAGAACACAGGAGCAGAAAACGCTCAATGTTCTTTAAATAAACCCTCCTTGCACACCCTAAATCAAATCCCACCTGTTTTACCCTCACCACGTTCTGCAGTTTTAGGATTGCTTGGTAACAGTCGGGCTGAAACCGATTTCAAGCGTAAAATTAAGGCACTAAATTACATGAAGTGACAAAGAAAGGGAATGTTTGTCCTAGCAGAGCATTAAATGATGCATTAACCTTGTCCTTCTTTACAGGAACACGTGAAATGTGCTCAAGCTCTGGCAGCACAAGGTCAGTGGGGTGCCAGAAACATCCTGAGGCTGAGAAAGGCCAAAAATCCCCTGGTTATTTTGAGATTTTGCTGTGAGCAGCTCAAGAGTCGCTGCCTGTGGTATCACAGAAATTAGAACAAAGCATTTGCCATTCTTTAGCTGGGAGAAAACAAACCTGTGACACTTTTCTTGCAGACACCAATGTTATTCCTTGCTGGAAAACAGCAGCTCCTTTTGTGCCTCACTTCTCTGAAATGGAGAATTGGAAAATTAATGGCTCTTCCTCCTGCTCCGAGGGGAAAAGGAGTGAAGTGTCAATATTTAGGGTTTATTGCATTCTGAAAAGCTCACATACACAAGATATCCCTTCCTCCCTTCTAATTAAGTAGGTACAGCTCAAAATGCCTCAGCTGGAACAGCAGCCACCAAGCCAAGAGGGAGCTCCTCTTCACATTGCCATTAATAGCTGGCATGTATTAATTACACTAATTTATGGCTCTGCACGAGTGATTATTCTCGTGCTGATGTCGATATGATTGCTTTACAATACCAATCAAGAAATAAGGCCGAGAACCAGCATTTATGTGAAATGTGAAGCTTGTGATTTACAGCGAGGCAGCTCCGTCCCTGTCGATCCCTCTCCTCCTCCTCCTCCTCCTCCTCCTCCTCCTCAATTCCAGCCCCTCTCCATCAGCTCCACAGCCACAGCACAGATTTTGGGGATAATCTCCATGTTTTCTCTCAAATAGCGATTTGAGACACGGCATTGCCATCTCCCTCATTGCTAAAAGCTGGCACTCGGCCATTCTTTGCTTTGCTGCATATTTTCTTTCTTTCTGCTTTAATCTTTCATCTATTTTAGATTTATCCAGGGTTGTTGGCTGCTGTTGAGTGCCAAAGGGATTCCTGCCAACTGTTCTTTTTAAACCTTTACAAAATCCAAAATAATTGTGTTTTAAAACCAGATTTTTGTCTGCTGTTTGTTCCCCAACATGAAGTTTTAAGTGCTCCAACTGTAATCAAAACAGAATGGTTTTATTTCCCCTTGCCTCAAGCACCATGAAATTATCTGTGCTCCCCTGGAAGATCACAGTAAAATGTTGAGGACACTTGTTTAGTTTGAAAGGCACCAATTTCTAACAGAAATAACACTTTTCCATTCATTAATCTCAGTGAAAACCCAGCCTGTTAGAGGATCCCTGCTGAGGAACTTTGGTTTTGATTAGAACAATAAACAAGTGATGGTAAAATCAAACTCATTAATGCTTCTCTCCAACAGATACCACCAAATGCACCCTCAATAAACCCAGATAAATTCAATACCTAAGTTTTCCCAGATCAGCTTTGCTCTGTTTTTATGTTTTTATTTTACAACTAGAAAGCAACAATTACAAAACAAGTTGCAGCAAACCTTCCTTGAGCAAATTAAACAGCTCATTAAACAATTTGCTGATTATTTCTGTTTTCTGAGGGCATGTGGCTGTTTTTACCTCCATGGGCTGCAGATTCACATTTAAAACAAGGTGGATTCCTTGTGCTTTTTGAGAGTTTTGAACCCATTTTTATTCCCAGTGCATGTTATAAGAAATGTCAACATGTTGTAATACACAAGCTCTTAAAATCAGGCAAAAATAGTTTTGTTTCTTTAAACACTAGGAACAGAATGTAACTTTAATTAAACAGTGGAGTAACCTGTTCTTCATACTGCTCAAATCCTTTCAGATAAAGAGCAACTAATTAATTCCAAACATGTTTTACCTACTCCATGGCCCAGGCTGAATGTTTTTATTAAGCACTGGATGTATTACAGTGATGATTCTGAGGGGAAAAAAAATCCAGATTAATTAATCTGCACTTTTTAGAACCAGGAGATTTCTCTGAAAAATACTAAGCCTGTTTTCCTGAATACTAGCTTCAAGAGAAATTCCTGAAATTCTACTTTTCATGCAATTTATACCTCAGAGAACACAGCCACCTGTGCTTTTGGAGGGACAGGGACACTGCCCTGTGATGCCACATGAGCAGCACCAACTCACAGCATCTTTCAGTCAGAAAATTAAAAATTATTCATATCTTCACCTGAACTCCACAGGGAAGTCAAAACCAATCCCAAGCTCTCCCATCTGGAGCTGTGCAGTGACCACAAGCTCATGAGGAATTCATTAAATTATTTATTAAATTTTGCAAAAAGCACACCCTAAAAAGTTCCAATTGCTGACATCAAATGGGCAGAAGGCTCAGCACCATCAAGTTTGGATGTTCAGGAGCACTGAAATGTTATAACCTGCCAGTTATACTGACATAATTAAGCTAATTGGGAGTTTTGGCCTCAAGTGTTGGGTTTTAATTCATTTAAGCATCTCCAAGATTCTCCTTAACTCTTGAGTTTAGCCTCTGCAGCAGACTTTAAATTCAAGTTTGAGATCAAAATGACAAATAGCAAAGCCTGCAAACAAGCTACAGATGCAGCTGCATTTGCTGCTCTGGCTGCCAGAGTATTTAAGGGTTGATCTCTGCAGTAATTATACTTTGGTGTCTTGTTTAAACCCTAATTACCACACTAAACCCTGCTGGCAGTATCTGCAGTAAATACTCTGCAATCTGGGTACATTCTCTTCACCATTTTACAGCAATTACAGAGAGTGCCCAATGTGTTTATTAAAAATGTGTTGCAGAACACAAAGTCATTCCTTAACGCAGTAAAATGACAAAACACGGTGGTGTTTTTTAATATTTTAATGTACATGTAATAAAACACTTTAACTGTTACCACTTTGTAACAGCAGAAAAACCTTGTGTCTACACAAAATCCTCAAGCTCAGGTGTTTTGTTGGAGTCCTTCTGCCTCAGAGATGTTTCCAGCAGCAGCACCTGGAACACAGGAGCAGGGTCAGGTAATCAGCCTTCATCATCATTAATGGATTTGTTAATGAGTGAGATATCATCAGAAAACCTTTTGCTCACCACCAGTCAATCTGCCGGTAATTCCAGCAAGTTTGGGTTAGTTTCATCACATGATATCACAGGGGAATTGACACATTTGTGGCAGAATCAAGACCTTTTTGTCTACAGTGCAAGAACAGCTACTCTTACACATTTACTGCCTGGATTTTAGTCCAAGTATTTTTTTTTTTTTTACTTAGAACTTCATTAGTTATACTTTTAGAGCAGAAACTGCTATCTTTTGAGACTGCAGGCAAAAACCACCACACATCCAGCTAAGGAGCATAACAAACACTGAACTCACCCAGCAGATTCTCCTGCTCTGCCGTCTCAGTGCCCTCCACAGGGCTTGTGAAGAGCTCTCACATCAGGGGCTGGACATCAACAACCAGCAGAGACCTGCAGGCTCCCCCTAAATATATCCGGAAAGAAATAATCAGACTTGAAATTCTTAATTCACACAATTCAGTGAAAATACACATTTCAAGCTCCTTATATTCTATAAACCTCATTCTAAATTTGCATTTCACCTGGTATACAATTCTGTGGAGTGCACTGAAAGCCATCACTGACCTTCACAGCAGGGCCAGCTGCCCACTGCTCCCAGTGCTGTTGTGTCACAGCCCAGGCTCTGCAGAGAAGTGGAACAGAGGGACAGGAATGTGAGATGCTTTCATGGAGAACAAGGTGGGCTGGTTTTAGAGGATGAATTTCAAGGTTTAATCTCCTGTGTGTAGCTGCATTTCAGACCAGAACCAGGGTATCGTCAGTTCTCGCATCTGACGGCACTTCCTATTCAGGGTTATCATCATCAACAGCCGCTAATTAACTCCCCTAATTAAACACTCAAAACACTCGCTTTTATCTCCAGCAGTTGTACAATCTCCCCTCAGTGCACAAAGCATTAACTCTAAACTTGTGTGGACACAAAATTAGTTTTAATGAGTTTTTATTTGACTTAAGATGTAATTTTTACAGGTTATTTTTGACTTGAAAGCCTAGAACTCCTTTTAACAACTCTGCACGCCTTAATATTTATATAAAAAACCACGTTAACTTACTTTTTACTTCAAGACATCTTCCTCCTGTGGGAGTAAAAGCAAGGGAAGTGTTACTAGAATACTCTTCAGCCGGATAAAGTAGGTTTATACAGGGAAAAACAAGAAATAACCAGACCCTCATGAACAATTGTGCTTTACTTACACTTGTATTTACGTTGATATGAATCACTGATATTTATATCAGACGGTTCTTAGTAGTCAGCAATCTCCTCTAAATAATTCTTAATCAGGAAATATAGAACTATGTAAATTTAAAGTGGTCTAAGAATGCAGCCTGCAAAACTGCATTTACCAACAGGGCAATTTTCAAACTGAAACCGCAAACGCTCCATTGCTTTGAGTGTGATTTTAATTACACACAAAAGGGCCTAGCACATCAAAAAATCATAAAAAGGGACCTAATTGCTTATTTTCATGGCTGCAGCACCACAAAAGTCGATGGACGGCGCTGGATGCCGAGCTGTCCCCACAGCAGCGTTACCAGCACGGCCCTCGTGGAGCCCGGGCAGGGCTGCGCCAGCAGAGGATCCGCACCCACAGCAGCGATGCCTCACACACACCCCGGCCCGGCCGAGCCCCTCCCGACTCACCGGGAAGGCGATCCCGCAGCCTGGCAGGGTCCCTCGGTGCCGGTGTCGCCTCCATGGTGACCTGAGGGGACAAGAACCGTGAGCCGCCATGCGCCGCGAGGCCGCGCCCCCCCTCCCCTCCAATGGTGCGGCCCGGCCCGCGCGGCCCAGGCAGGCCCGGCGGCCGCTACCACTGCCGAGCTGGGGGAGTGAGCGCTTTAGAGCTACGTGCGCTTCGCTGGGCAAGCCAGGCCTGCGCCTCCCCGCTGCCCGCCCGGCAGGCCCCGAGCCCAGCTCGGCTCCGCTCGGCCTCACCTCAGCCTCTCCATCAGCACAGGACGAAAAGGGCGCGATTCACTTCGGCGGCCGCTTATAAAGGCTTGGGCCGTACCACCCTCGCGGCGGGGGCGGGCTGTGCCATTGCGCCACAGGCGGGGGTGCGCGGAGGCTCCCATTTCCTGCCGTGTGGGCCTGGAAGGAACGGGGCGAGCGGAGCCGCGGGGATCGCTCAAAACCCGGCCCCAAAACCCCAAAATCCCAACCACAAAATCCCATCCCAAAAAAAATCCCAGGTCTGGGCACCACCCCAAAGCAGGGAGAGGTGACAGCTCAAGGCAGGGACCCTCGTGTCACCCCCGGCCGGGCACAGCCCCAGGGAGCACCGGCCCTGCCCTCGGTTCTGCGTTTTCCAGGAAAACTGGAGAGGTCGGAGTGATTTCAGGCCACTTTTATTTAGAACAGAACAGCTGTTTTTAAATAAAAGTTCCATTCTTTTCACATTGTGTCATCGTGAACTGAGAATAGGGGTGTTTTGGTTTCCTTTTCCCTGGTAAAAAAAACACAAAGCCGCCTTTGCTTTAAAATTTCACCCTCAACACCACGTGTTCAGTCAGCCTGAAGAACTATTTATCAAAAATCCACCTTTTGAAAACACCAAAATATTCCTACAAGAAAGACTAGTGTGGTGATGTAACAAACCACCCAAAATTCAGATTTTTCCTCTGAGGCACAGATCCTCCAGCAAAGCCAACATTGTCTTTTTGCAATTTTCAACATAAAACACGTTTTAGTGAAATACACACAGGTCCCCTGTCTCCCTATCAAACATCAATTTCTGCATCGAATTCTTGAAGGTGAGGATAGCTGGGAAGTCGGTAAAAAAAAAAAAATAAATCAAGGACACATTAGCTAAGGACTAAACACAAAGGGGAGTTGGAAAAAAATTTTCTTTGCAACCTCTCAAATAGATGGAAGTTAAAACGTTGAGGAAAAAGCATTGACTTAAAATTCAGAGCTCATTTTTAATTGCCAAATCCCAACAGTTCTTGCTTAGGTAACTAAGGAAGCCCAAAGCTGGAGAGAATTCCCAATACCAGCACTCTTCAAAGCTCTGCATAAAAAAGCAAAACCAGGCACACTCAATTACAAAACTCTTTCTACGGGTCCAAATCTCGATTTTTCTTGCAGTTAAGCTCCTGTATCAGACATAAAACCCCCCCAAAACCATGAAACCACAGTCCTGACCAGCGCAGGGGAATTTTTAAGGAGTATTTTTGACAACCTGGAAGGCAGGAGGAGTTAGGGGTGCCTTTTCCTGAAACACAGGTTGATTCCACACATCTTTTAGATCAGCTACAGAGATCCTCTGTGGCCATTAGTTCATCCTTCAGGTTTAAATTAGGAATATTGACATGGAAACACCATGCAAGGGTTCCCAATAATCCAGGTGCTTTGCTGGATGAGGTGGTCGATTCCTTCCAGGAAAAGGAAAGGTCCCAATGGATTCCAGGCAGTGACACAACACAAAGGTTTACTGGCAAAAAGAAACTGGTGGAATAAATTTTATCAGGATCTGGAGAGATGTGACCCTCTGGGAAAGCTTGGGGAGAGGATATCAATGAAAGCACTCGTTTGAAATGAGTTATTACAGTGATCACACATTGCAGACGTTTTCTCAACAGTACTTTTATGAGACATTTATATATTCAATAATTAAATATAAAATCAAGGATGAGTGTCACAAAACAAGGAAAGAGTAAGGCTTGAAGCCTGCTCAGCCCCCAGATTGCCCCTCCAGTCATCACTGTGCCTGTCATTTGACCTTTCATTTTACATGCTGCTATCCTCACACATCATAAAGCAGAAGAAAAGTTAATTTTGCACATTCCTTGCTGAAACCTCAAACCTACTTCAACTTAGTACAAAAATAGGGGGAGCAAAATTAAAAAAAAAAAAAAAGAAAAGAAAAAAAAGGGAAAAATTTGCTTGCTAAAAGCAGAAATGGGAAGAGAAGTTCACAGGTATTTTGGACTGACTGAACCAAGGAACAGGGACAATGCAAACAGATTTCAGACTATTAAAATGGTTTTGCTACCTGTTGGTTACCTGAATGTGATGTGCTCCATTATTCCTCACTCAGAATTACTGGCAACATGAAAAAAAAAAAATAGCAGTTGCACACTGATCAAACCCTTGTCCTACCCAGGGACGGTGAAAATGTGCAGGTAAAAAAGATGAATGGAACAAGTCACCCATGTCCACATCCACGTGTACTATACAGGAAGAACATCCAAAATATTGACAGGAGACAGTGATCCTAAAGTTTTCCTTTTCTCTTCACTTCTATATAGACAGAGAACAGCACAGAGGAGAACACCACTAGAGCTTTCACCATGGCCAACAGGAAGATTCTCACAAATATAAAAATGTTTTCCAGCTCTTGGATTGCTTCAGCACATAATCTAGGTGGAATGAAAGGAATATAATCCCTCCTCATAGAACAACAGCAAAAAAAAACAAAAAAACAAAAAAACCCCAAACCCTCAGGGATTTACACAATTATTAAACATCCAACTTGGCAGTCCTGAATATCTCAATCCCTGCTACAGCAGAATGTGGTATCACCAAAATAAATGAGCAGGATTCCTTGTATTCCACTGGGACAACTACATGGAATTTAACTGTAAAAAATGTGTAATTTGGATTTACATTCAGTGTGTTGGAAGAAGGGAATGTGATAATCAATCCCTTCATGCTTTATCCCTGCTGGCTGCCCACCCAGGAAGCTTTCTTGTTATTACTTCAGGAGGAAAGGAAAGGTGCTGGTAAGAGCCAGAAGGGCAAGGCAATGATCTGGATCATGAGATGCCCTGTTCTTTGGATGAAGTGTGTCAAACATTTTGTTAAAAGCCTCCATGATGAAAATACCAAGAACAGAAAAGGTCTCCTTAAAAATACAGAGCATTTCTGCCTCATCTTTTAAGTTCAAAGCTCGGGGGAGAAAATGTTTTGCTACAATTGACTACAGGTTTGCTGTCACAAACAGAGATGACAATGCCCTACAGAGCACAGGGCCAGCCACACACTCCAGACAAACGTCTTTGCTTTAGGGTTCAAGTGGTTTATGCCTCTCTTGTTGTAGAAAAGGAGCAGAGAAACTTCCTTCACTGCAGAGTCTTTGCCAGTGTCCAGCTTTTGGGCAAAGGGGATCCTGCCAGGCTGCAGAGTCACCACCTGGAGGGTCAGGCTGTGGAACCAGTCATGATTCAGAGTCTGAGCCAGAGCTGCTTTCCCGGCTGATCTCGATTTGTAGCGAGGGTAAATGATCCAAGCGACTCTTTTTTTGCCTGGACTGTTCTTTTTCCTTAATGAGAGCACCCCAAACCCTCTGCAGCTCAGAGTCATCTTCCTCTGGAGATGCCACAGAGTTTTCAGCTTTCTCTGGAGTCTTTTCCTGTGTCTTTGGAGCAGACCCCAATCTGGTCCATAAATTACCTAAGCAGATGAAAAACAAACATTAAAAAAAATCCAAAACAGGCAGGACTGAGAGGGAAGAAGTCAAGGAACCAATTCTTAAACTCACTGCAACTCTTCAAACCCTTCATACTCCTCCCACCTTAATATCTGGCATGGAACTGATCATGCTTTGAAGAGTAATTGAAATGAAGCTGCAGGAGGCTCAGGGCAGCCTTGTTCATTGTCCCCCATTTCAGAGGATGTTTAATTGACACCTGAAGTGCCCCTGCATTCCTGACACGTGTTTTGGTGCCCACAGTTTGAAAGCAGTCCTTGATCTTCAGCACACCTCCATAAAAACACTGCTCCCAAAAAAACCCCAGCTCCTCCTTACATGCATTTAGATTTCAGAGCTCTGAACAAACATTTGCTAATTTATCCTGAATTTTGTTCAACTCCACCCCTCCACGGCTTTCTGCTGGAATTTCTCTTAGCCTCCAAAACCAAAGGAAGTGCAGCAGAACATTTTCTGCACACAACTAACCTGATTTCTTCTCTCTGGTGTCAGAGTAGAGGCCTTTCACATCTTGTTTGGGGATTCCCAGCCTGCTGTGCACATCTGAGATTGGTTCTCGACGAGGAGCACAGGTACTGCTTGGGGCTTTGATTTCTGGAGAGTGTGGCCTTTTTCCCAGTCTCNTAAGAGAAAGTGAATCATTCTGGAAGAGATTTTATATGTATGGGTACGATCTTGGGGAAGTTACAGTTCTCAGGGGATATTTTCAGTTATTAAAATGACAAAAAAGAAAAAATCCTGTTGTATTTACCTCTGCCAGCTCACTTTATGATCATTTACTTCTCTGTTTTTGTCTTTTCTTTAGTCTTTTCATTTAGGTCTTTGATACTCAAGATTTCCTGGCAATTTCTGCCATACAATTTATCCAGATTTCATTTCAGTTTTGCCAATAAATTTGACATTCAATGTTTTAAGTTGTGCTCTGTTCAAAAGATAAAAGCCTAAGTTATCCCATGGCCTGCTGCTTTTCTGGTGTAGTAACAGAGTGTGTAAATATCCAGCAGGAGGTAAAATTCCATGAAAACTGGTCTGCCTTCAACAATTCTTTTAGTAATAGATACCTTGATTTACAATTCTACCACTGCTTGGTATTTGGCAGAATAAAATAAAAATAATACTAAAGATACTGATACTTAACCCTTGATGGGAAGTTTGTATTCTAAAATTTGCCTGGCATAGCTGAATGTTCCCAATCTTACAGGGGGTCCAGGCAAACATATGAAGGCAAAGGGAATTTTAGGATCATGTGTCAATTTGTCAGAGGCCCAAAATGGGCAGGAGGGGTAAAATAAACAAACCTAATTTTGACATTTCATTGATACAAAAAGGTATTTTTCACTTATCAGTCAGATAATATTATATACGTCAGAAGCAGCTGAAATTATACGTTTAAGTCAAAGAAATAAGTTATTTAAGCTCAAAAATAAATCCTTCCAAATGCAAAAACCACCCATCTTCATGGAATACACATTTTTTAATATGTATTTATGTGTATTTTTAAGTGTGGTCAGTGTTTCACATTTGATTTTGTGCATCACCTTTCCCTGTGTGGTTTCTCAGCTGCAGAGAATCTCTGCCTCAAGGAGGGAGCCCCAAAAAGGACAAAGTGGGGAGAAATTGGCACAGGCAAAGAAAATAAATGGAAATCAACTTCAGACTTAAAAAAGCTTTCACTGAAGTGTACTTGATTTTTTCCCCAAAGCAATTCCCAACTCAATCTCTTAGTGAGGACAAACTGTGAATGCAGAGTTTATCTGCAGTGGAGCACAGGTGTGAAATAAATATATTTTAGTGACAATTCTGCCCAGCAATGAGTGATAAATTTACCTGATTTGACAGTGCTGTTTGGCTGCCGTGGCCCAGAGTTATTCTGACGTTTCTCTTCCAACAGGAGCCTCACATCTGCAACTTTCTCCAAGGATCCTTTGCTGCCAATCCTGTTTTTGATGTTGCTGGTGGCTATGCTATCTGCTCGCATGGAATTCCTAAAAAAAAAAAAAAAATCATAGATTTGATGTCCTTTAAATAAAATTCAATCCAGTATAGTTCTTCAGTCTTCTTACATGGAAAATTACGTCACAGAAAATAAGAATATCAAGATTTCTCTGCTTAGAAAAAGAAGTAAAAACAATGCTTAGAAGCTGCTCAAGCCAGAATCCTAAATATTCAAGTATTTAGGATTTATCTAACAATATCATATTAACAATAATTCCATGAATACCTCAGTATCCATGTCCAGGCAGCCTCAAAATTGTTGACATTATGATGAGTACAATCACCCTAATGAAGGGACACATGTTAGTTATTTTATTAATCTACAATATATACAACTTTGGTTAGTAAGCCCATAATGAACATAAATTCATTTTTATCATCAACAATTGAGAGTTATTTATCTTTCTGAGATAAAGAGCAAGGGGCAAAGAGAAAACAGAAAGAAGAGTTGTTTTTCCCTGTTAATTGTGATTGTTTGGATAAACCTCTCTTGATTCTACTTTGAGTTTCATTATTATTAATAAACAAGGATAGAGAGATCTGCAGAAGAAGCTGTATAAAAAATGGTAATTCTATTAAAAGCCTAGTTTCTGTATTTTTTGTTAGAGTATCTACTACAAAATTATATCAAGAACTGAAAAGTAGTTTCAGGTTTGTCTTCAAGCTCCGACAGCTCTAAACCCAGGAAAAGCCTCTTCACTGCTACTTTCGAAGACTAAGAAATTTTACCTAATATTTTTCAGCTGTGACTCCACCTCATCAGCATACATGGTCATCTTCATGCTTTTTTTGGGCGAGGGGGTGGAAATCATTTTCAGTTCCAGGTCGTAGTCCATCTCATCCGAGTCCGAGGCGCTGGACCTGCGGGCGGCGCTGCGCTCCCGCGACTGCCGGAACGCCTGCAGCTCATCGCGGTACTCCACCACCACCCGCTCATCTTCATCCATGTCCTCATCCTCCTCCTCCCCCTCCTCCTCCTCCTCCTCCTCCTCAATGGGCTCTTCGGGAACATTCACCAAGCCTGCAGCAAAAACAGCTCATTCTCATCAGATGAGGTTTAGCATCTCTAGAAAGGGCTTGAAAATCACCTCGCTGCTAGAGGTGAGCGTGTGCTGTTCTTTTAGTTCTCTCTTCTTAAAGACAGGGAATATTTTGCCAAATATTTTAAGCGGAATCAATAAGTGGGCTAAAACTGCCACAGGACAAAATGTGCCTGGTTCACTCCCTGAGGCCTGGCCAAGTGCTGGACAGAGTAACTAAAGTGCAACTGCCTCTTGCAGAAGGTGCAGCTCTTCCTTCCTGAGCTAAGCACAATTCCCAGGATCTTACAGGGCTTAATGTGCCAGCTGCTGGCTCTGCAAAAATCCTTTCAAGTCCTGCAAGCAGCAATGCCAAAAAGAACACAAGTGTCATTATTATGAATTTATCACAGACAGTGATTTAAATAGAAACTATTTCAATTTAGTCATCACCAGCACTCAGACATCTCTTCAGACAGCACTACATGATCAACATGGAAAATGTTCCATGAGATCTGACACATCCCTGGCTGTATTTTTAACAGGCCAATCACACTGTACTTGTCTCATGTCAGATTTTTACACCCATTATTTTTCTACCTTAGGCAGCAGATGAAGACATTCAAGCCTAATTAACAGAATTTTCTCACCTCTATTGTTCTACATTTAGAGATTGCTTTTTAGAGACTGGGAGAATTGACTTAGCAAGTATGACAAATTGCCAAGAAGGCTGAAGAAGTCATTCACCCCTTCTTGTGGCCTTTGATGCCACAGTCCCCATGCCCTAAATTTGTAAAAGAAAAAAATGTCACACAAAAAAAGCAGCAGCTATTTTGGGAAGCAACGAGCAGAATTAAGTTTCCACCTCAGGAATTTCCTCTAAACTCTTAAAACGGGATTCAGATTTCTTTTTTTTTTTTTTTTTAAGAAAACTTCCACGCATGCCATGGGATTGGTGAGGCAGTGCTCCAGATCCGTGTCCCAGTGTCCCCACAGGGCTGTCCCAGTGTCCCCAGTACCTGAGTGCCGGTGTTTGTAGGGAGGAGTCAAGCCCACATCGTCCCCAAGCAGCGTCCTCTTCTTGATCACATCCCGATGGATCCTGCGGGAGTGGTACCTCCTCTTCCTGCAAAACCAGAGAGAGGTGACATTCCTGGCACAGCAGGTATGGCTCACTCATTAAGCCCCAGATCCTGGATGAAGGATATGTAATTATCACCTATTTTAATATATTTATGTCAGAGCTGGTCTGGATGGTTTGAAGAGAAAGTTTATTTTCATGAGAAAATTCTCTGCTTAAAATTCACACTCACATTGCAAGCATCTACATAAACCAAATAGAAAATCCACGAATTAAAACAGTTTTACAACCTGCAATGTTCCAATTCCTCTGTCCAACACTCACCAAGAATTGCTAAGAATTCCTTTCATGCCTCCATAATTTGGATTGCCATATTTCATGTAATACTGGCTTCTCCTGGCAGCTCCCAGCTCCTTTTTGTCATCTGCAAAACAACATTAATTATAGGAATTTTTCCCTCTTAGAGTATAACTTAACAGCATAAAAATAAATAACCATCCAAAGACAGAGAGTGAGACTGAGTGTGACTTCCCCCTCCTCCATGAAGGATTCAATTTTGCTTACACCTCTGGAATTTCTCCTACCATCACAGCTTTATTTGTGTCTAGAAACTTAATTCCAGGGAGGACTGGGTTTCTATAGATCAGTTTAACAGGGCATTACATCCCCCTGTCACTGCTGCAGTTTCCACTCACCTTCCTCATCAGCTTTCTTTTCCTAATCAATGTGCCACTTCCTACATGGTCCAGAAATTATATACATTTTCATTTCATTCATAAATAAAATGTATATTTAGCAATAATTTTTACTAATCCCTCTCAAGGCTGGCATCTCAAGTTATATCCATATTTATAAAATATAGAATTTACTTCTGGAAAAAGACATCATAAAACCTATTCCATGGAAATGGGAAGAATGCCCTGAGCCCAAGATACAATTTCCAGGTACAATAATTTTCATACAACTTCAACTGGATATCATTGACACAAGAAAGGGAGATTTAGGGCAAAACCTTAACACCTAACAATTAACAAAAAAAAATAACACTTGTAAATAAGAAGTAGGCACTTTGAGCCATTAATTAGTCACCAAATAAAACTACAAGAAGCAATGAATTTGGGGTGCTTTGAAGGTCATTTACCTTTAGTAGCAAATCTCATGAATAGCTTGTTTCCTTTAGCCAGTTTATTGGCAGGGCGAAGGTCATTTCGCAGGAGAGAATCCTCTTCTACCTGGGAGAGGGCATCCAACTTTGGGGGCAAAAAAGGTATTTTGGACTCAAAAATAATCAAATGACTGTTGAACAAAAATGGGTTGCTTGCAGAGAAGCAATCGAGTGATTATGAAGAAAGTCACTTTTCAAATGATGTTCAAATGAATTCTGCTTTTTATTCTTGACGAGCTGGTGTTAATTTTTAATGTAAATTGCCCTGAAAATTTAAAATATTTCCTGCTCTTGCTCCATAACATTAACTCAGGTTATTAAATCCAGTAATTGTCAAAAGACTCTACATTACTGACTGAAATGCACAAAATAAAGAGCACAACTTGGACACTGAAAGAAAGTGTTTTTTTCCCATTTCATATCTAAATGCTTTTATTAACAGGTTCTCATGCCCTCACACAATGATTAAAAACCTTTCTTTTGCATTTATAGAATCTTAAATGCAGACTTCCATGACGTAAGAGTGTTCACTGAGCCATTCCTGAAGGAAATTCTAATCACACCTATTACACCCCCAGCCAGTGGGGATTAAATTGCTGCCAGGGCAGCACTGTGTGCTGATTCCCACACATCCATGGGCAGCCTAAATCCCACTGGGCTCTGAGCACTTTCCCTGCTGAAAGGTCATTGCCTTCCATTATTGTTCTCTCATTGCCTCCTCTCAGCAGAAAAGAGAGGCCAGGCTCACTCTTAAACTCTCCAAAATCCATTTTCACAAAGCACTTTCCACTGGGATTATCATCACCTGCACGCTCCCTCTTGCTCCCTACCTAATTTATTTTGATAATTAAATTGTGAATTGCAAACAGAAACCTAAAATGCTGTGAAAACTTCACAGCAGCCAGAGCAAAACTTCCACAGCAGAGTTTCCACTTCCCCTCTGTACTGACCTCCACATCACTGGGATTGTCATCCTCAACCTCTCCTTCTTCTGTCTCATCATCAGAGCTTTCCTCCTGTTTTTCTAAGGAAAATAATTGGGAAAAAAACAAAACAAAACAAAACAAAACCAAGCTCCATTTTAGTGTGTCAGCCTCATTTGATTGATGATTACCTACATTGCCTGAGATCAGCCTGAAGGTGTTTTCCTTTCTCCTGAGCAGCCTAGGGAATAATCAAAGCAGTGAATGCCTATGGAAAAGTGGAGCACAGTGAAATTCAGAGCCCTGTGCCTGCAGCAGCACATGTGCATCATTAATTTAATTCTTTGAAAGCCAATGAAACTGCACTGCCTGTCAGGATTTAGAGTGTTCAAAATTAGAGAGCAGCAAGGCCGAGGCACTAAAGGCACATAAAAGCCTTTCCTTCCATCTCCTTTCTCAAATGCCTACAAATATCCAACACTAACAGTGTAAAACAGGTTATTAATCAAAAGCTTAAAGAGAAGGAGCAGTAAAACGGAGAAAAAACAACCTTAGTGACTTAATTTTGCTGTGAAGTAACTAAAAAGAAGTATATGCTTTAATTTTTCAGTTCTTTTTAGCCCAGTATAAGAAAATTCATGCTGAATTTTTTTTTTCAAAGTCCCCAAGGAGTAAAATATTGTAAAAAAGTAATAACTATGGACAGCTATGAAGTGTGATATGCCAACATCGTTTGCAAAGATCTCAAAGTACTTCACAGGCCTAAGATTAAAAAACCTTTTTATATTTCAGAGTTCCTTATCTTAAATCTCATCCAACTTAAAAACTTAAAATAGAGAGTGGCAGCTGTTCAAAATATTCCTGAGTGAAAACAATAAAGCACAATTAACCAAACTGAAACCAAAGAGAGAATTTAAGTAAAAAAATTACCCAAATTCAAATCATAGTAATTAAGTTCCATCAGGGAGAGTATTCATGCGTTTTTCTCTCTCACAAATTAGAAGTTTCTCACAGCACAGACCAATCTTTTGCTTCCCTAAATGTCTAAACAGCCCTGAAATTCCTATCTAAAAAAAGGAATGTAACCAAGCCAGATGACTCCAGGGTATCTGTATGGATCTCACACCTTAAGATGTAATTGAACAGTCTGTACTTTCTCTAATATCCCACTTTTCCAGAGGAACAGGAGTAATTCAGATGACAGCTCTTATTTTCAGAGGGGTGTAATGATAATATAATATGCAATTCAAAGCAAGCAGGATTAAATATATATGTTTATGCTCCATTTAAGCAATGTCCCTAATCTCCAAAAAATTCATAATGAGTCTTACTTGAAGCTTTATCAACATTTGGCCAAAATTAAATGAGGATGGTTGAGGAGCCACTGCTTTGTGGAGAAAAGGAGCAGGAAAAGGGGGTGGATTAGAAGAATCCAAAAGTTTAACAAAGCTTTAAACACCAAATTTCCCAGAAAGGCTTTTGGAAGTACTGCAGGTATCTAATGGAGAGATTGGCTGCTTGCATTTAGGTCATATACAGCATTTGAAAGCAAAATCTACAGAAGAATGATATTTATTAACTTTTTTTTGCTGTGTTTAATGTGATAGAGCACCTCCAACCACAGCACTCACAGCAGCCTAAGAGCAAAACCATCCTCAGGTAGCAAAACGCTGCTTTTAAACTTCCCCACATAAAAGAAAAATAAATTTACAACCAAGGCTGATCACGACACTGGAGATGTACTTTCACTGCTCTCCTCTTTTATAACCAACCTTTCCAAAACTGCTTTCTTGAAAGGATAACAGCCAAATTTAGAGCTGAAGTGATGCACTGTCACGCTGCTGTGAGGGATACACTTGAAGGATGGTGGTGCATCACAAAGGGAATTAGCTGTGCTATTTCATTCCTCACACCTGCTCTTTGCCCACTTTGCCTTTGCAGGCACATCACACAGAGCTATTTCTGTGCACATGTCCCACTATAAATACCAGCTCTCAGCATCACCCTCCTCTAACACGTTTAGTATGGACTGAATTACTGCTTTTGGTCTAGCTCCAACCCACCTTTTAAGAAGCAGCTTCTTCAAAAGGTTTCCAAGATGAAAGCCTTTTTTAAAGTGGCAGAATACATTTACCTGCAACTATATGATAGAAGCTCCTTCAGTAATTTAGGTTATGCAATACCCCAGCACAAGTTTAAAGTTTCATTGATTTAATGAGATGATGGCTGTATTTGCATATCTCAATCTACCTTTCTTGGTTTTTTCAGCTGTCTTCTCCTTGTTGTTTTCTCTGCTCTTTGTTTTCTCCTGATCAGGCAGGGAACTCATATTTATTAGAGCCCGTGTTGCTGTCACTTCATCAAGCCAGACCACATTACCTGGGACAAATAGAAACACAAAAGCCAAATGCAGTTGGTGTCATCAAGCAGTCACATCTCCCCTGCCCTGCTGGAATGAGATTCATGACAAAAATTCAATAATGACAGAAAAGCCATCAGATCTCTTGCAGGGAAAGTCGTATTTTTTAACACAGCTGATAATCTGGAGGACACACAGTCTTCAGCTTATTACAAAACACGAGAGCTGAACAAAACCCCAAAATCACTGAAATGCACAGCCATAGATTTGAGAGGCTTCCTGAAAACAGCAAATCAGGGCACTGGATTGGGGTCAGTGGATCCATGTGTTCCCACACAAATGTGATTTAGGGAGCAGCAGGGGGCAGAAATGAAGCCTGGATTTTTTTCCCCTTTGGCAAGTTAACAGAACCTTGGACTTTAGTGCAGAATTCTGTTAATCTTTTCCAAAAAGCAGGAAAATAGGGGAAAATAAGAGACTGCTCAAGCACTTTGCACAGATTATAGAGTACACAGGTTCACAATATCATTCAGGATGTGCCTTAAGTATCAGCAGATGGTATTAAAATATAACTTATTAGGCCAATTAAAAGCATTTCATAGATGTTGAAATGGAAAGAGCTAAAACTGCTTAGAAACAGGATTTGAACAAAAGCTTTCTGCACTTGGTACAAATACAGCAACAAATGTCTCTGTTTTGCTGTTAAGCAGAGTGGATTCAGATATTACAAAACTGTACAGTGACACTAAAGAAGAGAATCTCTCTTAAATTACTCAAACAGATAAGGTGAAGAACACCCAGGTATTAACTTAAATGACTGGTTAATAAATCTACATTTTCTTTCAGTCTGCCTCATTTTCCCATCTCCAGATTTCCAAAACGTTCATCATTTCAAATTCATCAGTTTGAGACACAGAACACTAAATCCACCTTTGCACTAAGTCACCTTAAGTTTTTGCCATCATGCAAACCTATGCTGAAAAGAAAAAGTTTTTTTCTTGATATTTTCACTGAATGTAGCTGACATGGTAACCCAGACACAGCATGAAAATTCACCATTAAAAAAGATGTGTAATAACTATAGCTGGGTATTGTTACAACCCTGAAGCCTCATTTTTCACATGAATTTAGTCATGCAGCATTTAAGAAAGGAGACAATCTTAGAAATGAAGCCTCAGATAGAGTTAAGCTGTGCATTTCCAAGTTCCTGCATCAGCACAGGTCCATCCAGCAGCTCTGTACTCTAATTATCCACCCAGGGCTCATTGGGTTTCACATTTTCTATCAGCTTGTGCCAGTCCTTCAAGCTGTCACATACAGTGACTTCAAGGTCACCAGTATTTTGTAGAACACCATCTGCTTTGTCTTGCATTGAACAGAATTTCTTCAGGGTCACTCCAGAGAATGAAGTTACTGATTCTCAGCTTTTAGCCATGCTTGTCAGTAAATTTTCAGCCATTTGGAAAACCTGCACTGGCTCCTATTTCTTTTTCTATTATTTCAGGCACAAGGTTTGTAGCCACATGACAGTCTCAGAATATTGCAGTTCCAGGATCCAGCACCCAAATGTAGCAAAGAACTCTTCAGTGTCAGTGAGGAAAGCACAACTCTCCACCACCTTTGATCTTGCAGATATCACTCCCCAAAACAGCCCTTACCATGTGTACTCACATTCCTTTTCCAATCTGTGGAAATCACACCCAGCTGCCACCTCCTTCCACCCACCCATTTCTCCTGGAGCATGCACTACACAAATATGGCAACAAATCTCCTCCTCCTCCACACAAAACCATCCCAACCTGCCCAACTGCACAGTTCAATCACCCTCTCTCAGATATATTATTTATGTCAAGATGGAAGCAGCACATAATTTTAGCCCTTCTTCTTTTTCCCCTTAGAGATACAGCTGTGATCAGGTTTAAAAAAAAAAAGAGTAAAAGTTACAAATACTCCGTTTACTTACATGAAGTGTCATCCAGCCACTCGATATGAGCAGGAGGATACTCTTTGAAATAGGCAAAGATGTCCTGGGTACTCATCTCATCCACTCCACAAATGTAAATGGTGTCCAGCCTTACTTTAGGAATTGCTATAAAGAGGAAAAGACACAAACTGGTATTTATTCCAAGCTTTCAGATTAGAACCATATGGGTTTATAAGGCAAATACTTCAAATAAATTAAAGAGGAACTAATTGAAATGAAGCATGACATAGACCATAACTTAATTTATTCTCCCACAATGCAAAACTTCAATAAATTGAGAATTGAAAGAGGTTACTGGTAGATACAGAGACTGCATAGCAACCAAACAGCTTGAAAAACATTTTTTTTCCTCTTTGAACACTGCCAAAGTACTATCATTAAGTACTAAAGAGCCAGAACAAAACAAGGTCCTGCACAAAGCACTTCCACTTGTATCACCTGATGGGGAACTGTTCCAGGCCACAGCTTAGCAGGTCCAAGCTGCCAGTTGGAAAAAAAGCCTTGAGAACTAACTGGGTGCCAAAAGCACCAATCTGCTGTGCACACATCTCCTGGCTTCTGCTCCAGCTTGCCATCAGTGCAGCCTCACTGTGTGTACAGCACAGAGTCTGATGTCCCTGTGCACAGGACACAGAGTCCTCCACGTGTACCCACACAGTGCTCCAGGGCTTTTACAAAGCATTTAAGGATTCTTAAAGCAGCACTGACCCAGAATGTGAATCTCGGGCATGTAGCACTAGGAAATAAGGCACACAAAAAAATGTTGTCTTTGTGCTGGGCTTGGTAAAACGAAGAGTGAACTGGCAAGCGTCAAATAGGTTAAAAAATAATGATCTGCAAAGAAAAGGTGGAAAAGCCCCAAAGTGATTCCTTTTAGCAGTGATCTGGCAAAACCTCTGGGAATGTAGAAAATATTGCAGGATCAATCAAGTCAAGACACTGTGAGGAAGTAACTGAAGGGATCTTTTCTCCTGACTGCTGGATGAACTCGTACCTTTCTTCATCATGTCCCGGTCCAGGGCCACGTTCCTCTGGGCCAGGTTCACCTCAGCCCGAAAATGGAAGCGTTTGGCTCTTTGTTCCTTCTTCTCAATTGCCTCCTGCAAAATGCAAAACAATGCACTCAAACAGGAGTCAGCAGCACCCTCAACAAACTGCACCGAGGATACTCAAAATCTACCAGGCAGCAACAATTTATATTAATAATTCTAGTAATTCTGCAGAGACCTGTAGGTTTCAGAATGTAGCAGTAGTTCACCAAAATATTTCTGTGCCACAGAGCAGTTTTTGTGTAGGTCCAGCAGTGGGAATCAGGATGCATGGGAAACAAGGTGTCTTGGACAACACAGACTCCATCATGGAACAGGAACATTATCTAGTCCTCACTAACAAATATTAAATAAAACCTCTCTCTCAAAGGAAGCCTACCACAGGCAAAATTCATCTTTGAAGATTACAGAGTTTTTTCCCATGTTTTTTAAATATATACAAGAGTGTGAATTTGTTTCTCTGAGGATGAATTTAACACTGGAGAGCTGGGTCCAGAGAATTTTTTTGACTGGCATCTCAGGCTCTTTTAATGTAGCTCATGAGCAACAGCCTGGCTGGAACTTGTGCAATTTTGAAAACTGGCTAAGAAGTTCTTTGTTCTCCAGATTTTATTAGGAAGCATCACAGGTTTTTGGATCTTCAAAATGCTGAAGAGCCATAGCACAAAAATTACCTTGGAGGTTACATCTATTCCAGTGATGAAACTTCCAGCTTTGTTTTCATATCTCCTACTGGTGTCCTGAAACAAAGCAAAACGGTGATGAAATCTCAATGAGCACTGAAAGCTACACACTTGTTATACTGAAAAAACACCTGATTATTTCTACAAGAAATAGATCCTCTTTTCCTTGATGCAAGCTACATCCCTGGACAGAGAGGCACTCTGATGTCAGTGAAAGCAAAAGCACATGAACTGAACCAAACTTCCCTCACTGTAAGGATTCTTTCCTTTGACTGAATTGAGTTTATATATCAGCTGCTGCCAAGCTTTTTACTCTCTCAGAAATACAGGGAAAGTCATCAAACACCTTTCCTAAGTATTTTGGGTTTGGGTATAATTTCCTTGTAAAACATGAGCAGATTTAGCAGTGATACCTGACTACTGAAATGTCAGTTTGCAGTTTTTAATCTCAGAAAGTGAGAACACCAAGCCACATCTACAATGAAACAAAATAACTTTTTATTCCTATAATTATTTTCAACCCCAAATTCCAAATACCAAGGTGAAACACTACCGTTTTGATACTGAGAGAGGGTAAAAATGGAGAATGAGGGGGGAAAAATTACAAGTTTCCTGTCCATCAGACAGGAGTGCTGAATCAGAGAGGGACTAAACCCACAGCCCCTGAACCAATGACCCAATTCTGTGCCTTCCATTGTCTGCATCTGTAAAATGGCACCTCTTCATCCTGACACCCTCAGCTGGCAGAAGTTTGGAGCTGGAAGAACACCTCTTGGTTGTTTTTTTTTTTAGGAGTAAACGCGTTCTTTACACTTGTGCTGCAATAATTACTTTGGCTAAAGGACCATTTCTAGAAGTAGGTTAGTCTCAGTTTAGAAAGCCTGAAGAACACACGCAATCCAACTGCTTTTCTTAGTAACAGCACCAAACTTCCTCTAATGCTGCCAAATGGTGAGAGCTACTAGAAACAGAAAAGGCAAATAAACATGATTTTAAAAGTTTTAAAGTGCAAATCAAACCGCTCAGTATCTGTGGAAGTTTCTCTTTCCATTTCCTACAGAAAGCCCCCAGTGTGTGATGTTGGCTCAGAGCACAAGGAAGTACAGCTCGCTGCTGTCTCTCAGGCCACATGTTGGGTACAAGCACGTTGTTTAATTAAAGATCAGCTTCCACAACAATTTTCACCCAAGTTTTGAGAGCAGAAGACTACTTAGGATTTTAGAACTGTGACCCATTTTTAGCTGTTAAAACCTAATCCTACTAAAACTTGTATACAGAAACAATCAGCGAGAGTTGAAAAAGGGAAGAAAAATATCGGGAAGGAAACCCTCAGAGCCCACACTCGCAGCTCTGCTATCCCTCAGATGTTGCTCGCTCCAGGTATCCCCTGTACATCAGATACCCGATTCCCCGATATCAAACATTCCCTGCACACTCTCCCACCCACAGCCTCCTCCACACCCCAACACAGCACCCCAAATCCTGTTCTCCACCTCCTCCTTTATTCCATTCCTTCCCAAGCACATCCCGCCCGTTTCCTTAGGACTCGCCTCCCCCATATCCCCGCTCCCACATCCCTGCTTTTCCCGAGAATGCCCCCAAAGCCCCCGCCGAGCGCTCAGACACCCGCACCCGCCGGAGCCAGCCCCTCGTCGCCCACAGCTCCCGGCCCTCACCGGGATGAGCTCCCGCAGCGAGCGCCTCACAGGGATGGTCTCCAGCTCTCCCTCTTCCACCTCCATGGGCTCGGGCTCGGGGCCGCGCGGCTCCGCCGTGGTCGTGCTCGCCTCCGCCTTCACGGAGATCCGCAGGCCCCGCACGGCCGCCATGGCTCCGCCAGGCCCGCCCAGCGCGGCCAGCGAGACGAGCGCGGCGCGGCACAGAGCGGCGGGGCGGCTCCGAGCGCGGAGAGCGGCCAGGAGCGCCGGGCGGGCGGAGCGCAGCGGCCCCAGCGCCGGGCCCGGGGCACGGCGGGCTCCGAGCGGGCCCCGAGACACAGCGCGCCCCGAGACCAGCACGCACCCCGAATACAACGCACCCCTGAGCTCAGCACACACCCTGAGCCCAGCGCACCCCGAGACCAGCACACACCCCGAATACAACGCACCCCTGAGCTCAGCACACACCCTGAGCCCAGCGCACCCCGAGACCAGCACACACCCCGAATACAACGCACCCCTGAGCTCAGCGCACCCCGAGACCAGCACACACCCCGAATCCAACGCACCCCTAAACCCAGCGCACCCCCTGAGCTCAGCACACCCCCTGAACCCAGCGCACCCCCTGAACCCAGCGCACCCCGAATCCAACGCACCCCCGAGACCCAGGGCACCCTAAATTCAACACAACCTGAGCCCAGCGCACCCCCTTGAGCTCAGCACACACCCTGAACCCAGGGCAGCCCGAATCCAACGCACCCCGAGCCCAGCGCACCCCCATCCCTCTCCGGACAGAGCCGGTTCAAGGCCCGGAGGTTCAGGGTGGAGAATGGCCCCTCTTTCCCCGGCCCCGGAGAAAGGCATAGGGAAAGCGGACAAACACAGAACTTAAGTCCGTCCAAAAAAGAGGGTTTTTAAAAACTATCTGAAATCTAATGTTCAGTTTTCCCGTCCATACTAGCAGAATGTTACACCTCTGATAAAATCAAATTCTCAGCTCGTAGTCTTCCGCAGTATTGTGTCCCTTTGCTCTGAGGCTCAGTTATTCTCTTTGTCCCCTTGTCCCAGATTGTTACAGGAGAGCAGCCTTGGCTCCTCGGCCCAAATAAACCAAATGCTTTCACCAATTGTTCATTCCCTTAATTACACAAATCAGCTCCATTCCCTCACACACAGCAGACCAGAGCTCTGTTCTAGCTGAGGAGCTGCTCCTGCCTTGGCATCATTATTTCACAACTGCCACACTACACAGCCACATCCCATTGTCTTTGTGTGGTATCATCACACCACTAAGAATTCCTATTACTTCTCCAGCTGCAGGACCCTTCCCTCCAGCTCAGGCTGCTCCACACTTCACTTCTGCACATTACAAATAAAGCCCTTCCAGCCCATCCCCTGTGACACGTCATTTTCCCTCTGAACTGATGGTACTTCCCAGAAAAATTCAAATGTAAACTTTGTCACAAAGACATTTCCCAGCTGGCAGCATAAAGGCTCCTCCCCTTACATAAAGGCTCCTCCCAGCAGGATCAAGAGATCATTCCACCCATCACTCACTCCAATATTATTTATTTTCAAGTCTTCACGCAGAGCTCATTACACAATGGCTCATGTCACTGTTCACCAAAAGTGCTACATTTGGCGCTGACATCCCACAGCAGCACCTGGCAGGAACTTCTGACACAGGTGACACTTCCAAGCCAGGTGTGAAGCCAGGTTCCAGGCCACAGGAGATGAAGAAAAGGAATAAACAGGATACAGGCACCTCCTGTGAGCAGCTGAGTCTAAACTAATTGCAAGAGGAAACATTTCTGTGGAAGAAATGCTGTTTCTTCAGGTCACAGGGAAAATAAACCAGGAGATGGAACTTCTCCTTTAGTTTTACTTTTCTAATTGCCATATGATCTAGCTTGATAAAGCCAAACCCTTCAAGGAGCAGTTGGGACAGGGTTATGTGACACCAGGTCACCTTGCACTGCTGTCAGCAGAGTGCAGATGAACCTTGGGCTAACCCAGGTGCTTCCTGATTTTGTTTTAACATCCCTTGGATGTCACCTCGGGCAGAACATTGCTGTACTACAGCCTGCCATACCTGGCACCTTTTCAAGATTCACTCATTGCACTCAGCAAGAAACTTTCTGCTGATTGACTGTGGCTTTAGACACACTGCCAAAATTTTAGAGCTTCTTAGGGAAAAAATAATCTCTGGCCAAGTGGTTGAGACAATAAAATCAGGACAGGGAAATCAAACTTGGGTACCAGTGGGGCTTTTTACTGCCAGGTGGATGAATAGAATGTTTTCACAATATTTTGTAATTCCTTTCAGGATCTTTAATTAACAGTGAATTCTTCAGCATTTCAAGCCGATTTAGTTTCATTCTTCTTCGACTGTGGCCCAAAGTTTTGTTTTTCTTTCACATTCCTCTCTGAAATCTCTCTGCCTGTGAAAGATCACCTAAACTCTTAAAATGTTAATTGTTTTCAAACTTGTAGGAAGCAGGCTTGGGCAGAAGGGCTCTGCTTTGTTGTAGCCTTTGTGCAGCAGGGATGGGGCAAGGGTAATAAACTCCTGAGGGATGCAGCATTTAAATAGGGGAGAAAAAAGAAATTTGGGAAAGGCTACCAGTCATTATCAGAAATGCTAAGTAAGGAAAGGCTTTTACAAATAATGAAGGGGAGAAAGTGACCGTAGAAGAGAAGCTGTGGATAAACCTGGAAGTGATCAAGGCCAGGTTGGATGGAGCTCTCAACATCCTGCCCTAGTGGAAGGTGTCCCTGGCCACGGCCGGGGGTTGGACCTGGGTGATCTATGAAGTCCCTTCCAACTCAAACTATTCCATGATCCCATGGAATCATTCCAGCATAAAAACACCCACGGGAGCGATTTAAGGCAGGAACGTTATTGGTTTCCCCGCTTTGACCACCAGAGGAAGCTCGTGCAACAGAATTCCCAGCGTGAGCCAAAACCAAAACCAAAACCTGCTGGAAAACACCGATTCCTGCAGTTTCGCGATCGGCTGAAAACAGGAGATGGGGACCGGGAAGGGAGGGGAATAAAGAACAGTCAGTGGGCCCTCAAAAAAGGAGACTTTTTTTGCAGTGGCCTGGCAGGAGTCAGAAAAATGGTGAATTTTCCCCCAATAAAGTCTTGGTTGATTTGTTTGTTTGTTTGTTTGTTTGTTTGTTTGAGGTCCGTGAATGCTGAACAGAACGAACATGTGTTCCTGCAGATGTGATTGAACTCTCCTGCTGTCCTGGGCTCTCAGCAAGGATCTGCAGCTTTTCAAACCTGTGGAAAACCCATGGAAGTGTGTGTGCTGTTCCTGCAGCTGGCCAGCAAACCCCATACATCACCACGGAAACTGGGACTGGCTTCCGAATGGATCAGGGCTCACTCCTGCCTCCAGTCCATCTGGGGACAGAACAGCATCAGCAGAGGAAGGATGTTCATTTGTGAGGCTGAAATCAAGCACCTGGTGTTTTCTTATGGATTTGATGAAGCACAGGCTCCCCACCTGTAATACAGAATATTTTCTCACTGGGATATTGTGAAGGTCAGTACAATCCTGGTTACCTGACACGGTGCCAAAGTCCCATCCAGGAGACAGCTACAGGGCCCTACAAAAAAGCAGGATATTGGGAGGCAGGGATGAGCACTGCACCCTCACAGCTGTGCTCTAACATTGTTTATGCAAGTGCTGCCACAGGGAGACCACACAGTTAAAAAAGCATATTCCTTTCTGGAAAAAAAGCTGACAGAACTGAGCAGAGCTGGAGCAGAATTCTACACACGTTGACAGATATTACTCTGGGATTTAAGAGACCTTGAAGTGGTAAATATTGCTTTGTTTCTTACAGATATAATTCTTAATTTGTGCACTCCCACACACACACATTGTTCCTCTGTGGCACCAGTGGAACTGAAGCTCTTCCCTGTTGCAGACCTCTGTGGTAATTCAGTCAGTGAACTGCCCTGAATAAAATGAAACTTTCTATTTCACAGGGCTATTTTTAACCCAGAACAGCTCGTTGGCCCAATTCAGTGTGTAGTCCCATGAAAAGCAGCTGTGCTGGCACAGTCTTGGGGTGGGAAGATTTGGCTGGCAGGAAAGATGAGGACAGAAGCTGCTGGCACAGCCCTGAAGGAAAACACAGTGAGCTGCAGCTTTTAACGTACAGAATCACAGAATATCCTGAGCTGGAAGGGACCCACAAGGATCATCCATTCCAACTCCTGGCCCTGCACACACACCCCAACAATCTCACCCTGAGCATCCCTGGGAGCGTTATCCAAATTCTCCTGGAGCTCTGGCAGCCTTGGGGCTGTGCCCATTCCCTGGAGAGCCTGGGCAGTGCCCAGCACCCTCTGGGGAAGAACCTTTTCCTAAAATCCAACTTAACCCTCCCCTGGCACAGCTCCTGCTCTTCTCTGGGGTCCTGTCCCTGGTCACAGAGCAGAGGTTGGTGCTGCCCCTCAGGAGGATGTTGGAGACCACAATGAGGTCTGCACTCAGTCTCCTCCAGACTGAACAAACCGAGTGACCTGTCTATTGTCATAAAGCTTTCTCTCAAGACCCTTCCCCATCTTTGTTGCCTCCTTATGCAAGGAATGGTGTGGCGGCAGGGCCGGGGAAGGGACTGTCCCCCTGTGCTGGGCACCGCTAAGGCCACATTCGAGCGCTGTGCCCAGCTCTGGACCACTCAATTCAGGAAGGACAACGAGCGGCTGGAACATGACCAGAGAAGGGAACGGAGCTGGGGAAGGGTCTGGAGCACCAGGAGAGGCTGAGGGAACCAGGAGGGCTGAGCCTGGAGAAAAGGAGGGGGAATATTCCGGCTCTGCACAACTGCTGGAAAGGAGGCTGGAGCCAGGTGAGGGTCAGGCTCTGCTCACAGTGAACAAGGGACAGGACTAGGGGAAACGGCCTCAAGCTGTGTCAAGGGAGGTTTAGGCTGGACATCAGGAGAAACTTCTTCCAAGAATAGGTCATTAGACATGGGAACGGGTTGCCCAGGAACGTGGCGGAATCACCGTTCTTGGAGGTGTTCGAGAAATGATCGGACGCAGCGCTCTGATGAGGAGTGAGGTGAGGGTAACTCTGATGAGGTTAACAAGGTGGTGTTCGGTGCCGGAGCGGATGATTTCAGCGCTGTTTCGCAGCCGATCGCTGCCGGCATTGACGCTCGGTCCCCGCCGCTCCGAGCGCCCGCAGCGGTTCCCGCCTCCCGTCACGGCCACGCCCCGCCCGCGCGGGGAGATGACGTCACGCCCCCGCGCGTGCGGTCACGTCCGGTAGGTGAGGTCAGGGCCGGGGCCGCCATTTTGAGCGGCTCCGCGGGCGGCGGCGGCGGCCGCGGGCGGGGGAGGAGGAGGAGCGGGGCCCCCATGGCCGGGCAGTTCGACTCCGAGGACCGGGCGAGCTGGTACTGGGGGCGCCTGAGCCGCGCCGAGGCCGTATCGCTGCTGCATGGGCAGCGCCACGGCACCTTCCTGGTGCGCGACTCGGGCACCATCCCCGGCGACTTCGTGCTGTCCGTGTCCGAGAGCTCCCGCGTCTCGCACTACATCGTCAACAGCCTGGGGCCGGCGGGAGCCCGGCGGGCCGGCGGCGAGGGCCCCGGGGCCCCGGGTGAGTGACCCCCAGGGCTGGCGGTGCCCGCAGCCCCGGGCAGGGCAGC